ATTTATTAAATGTAATAAGAAAAAAAAGAAAAAGAAAATGCTTCTGAGTTGATAGAACAATAGACAAGAACAAGAGTTGATCTTGGTTTCAATTTTAGGGTATTATTTAACACAGGAAAAAATTAGCTGGCCACTGACAAGAAGAAAAAAAATTTAAATATTTTTTCTTAGGAATTTTCTCAATATGCAATAAATGGGTTTTATTAAAAAAAAAAGAAAAGAAAAAAGATCCCCCACTTTTATTGGGTACCTAAGTATACTGATTACCTTCATGAATAATTCATTAGTCTATTAAAATTACTGTCATCATGAGGAATAACTCAGCAATCAAAATCATGCAGATCAGAATTCAGTGTGACATGAATAAAATTAACATTGAAATCAAGATCTCAACATTTCTGATTTAATATTCTATCAACAAAATGATTTCATTAAGTGTAAAGAAAGAGGTTAGGAGTGAATATTTTGCCAAAACAAACTTAGGTAAAAATATTTACTTAAGTCAGAAATGGAGAGCAATCCAGTGTTAATAGGATTAACAAAAGGTGAACAAGATGGGAGCTTATCACAGCAAAAATGGTAAGAATTTGGTCAAAACTCTCTACATAATTAAAACCTTCAAACTTTGTAAGCATTTTTGAAAATATCTTAAAGAATATTTAGATGATGTAATCCTGTAAAAATAGTCATTAAAAATAAATATCGTAAAATGACCGAGATGAATAGAATAACCCGGTTGCTACATAAAAAGTTTTTGAATTACTGTTTTTGTTGACCAACTTTCCTCCTCTCCTACATGCTTATTGCTGGTCCTATAACTTATTAGGTTAATAGGTATGCTCTATTGGACTTTGTCTTCCATTCTATATCAGAGAAAATAATTGCTTATCTAACAGAAGAGATGAATCCCTAACTTACTCAAATGACATTTCATGTCTATCAATCATTGCAGCATGTTAAGATATCTAGTTACAGTAGGGAGTAGTAAATTCATGCCTTTCTCACGGGCATTAACATGAACTGAACAAAAATAAGCTTCAATCAAAATTCAGTTTTAGTCAACCAATTCTATTTTCCATGCGGATTTATAACCATTATATCAACATCAAAACTGTTTGCTTCTGAAACAAATAAACACAACTTATAAACTGCAATAAGTAGAGGTACCTGCTGTTAGATCTACATAGAAACTAATTGCATTTAAATCATCATCAGCAGGTAGTTTGCCACTCCTGCAGCTTAAAAATGGTTTAATTCTGGAACTGTATTTAAGCACTGCCAATTTCTCTTTTGTTGGGTTTTGTATCAAGTGCCTGGTCAAGCACTGTTACTTTGAACAAGAAATGGCTGTTGATATTCCCTTACCATATCACTGCAACGGTCGCTCATAAAATAGCAAACCAATTTGGCAGCGGAAATTTCACCAACTGAAACATTCATCCTTAATGTTAGATCTATATTTGAACCTAATTGTATTTAAATCAGCAGCAGGAGTCTTGGCACTCTTGCTGGTTAAAATTGGTACAATCCTGGAGCTCTAAGCTCACCCTATTTTTCTGTCAGTTTTTGTATCAGGTGCCTAGTGAATCCTTGTCTCTTTGAACAAGAAATAGCTGTTGCTATCCCCTTTTTTGGATTTTGGATCTGCTCTTACAGTTGTAAGCTGAACATAGCTCCAATCTACAATGGGCCCAGCACACTTCCACTGTGAAACCCTGATTCTGATAACTCACTTGATTTTATATAGGAGCATTGGTAGATGTGACAGTTATTAGTCCAAGTGTAAAGGAGCTGATTTATAGTGATGCCTCCATCAATGCCAGAAACAAGCCAAGATATTTGAAATTCCTTGAAGCAAGTCACCAACAGAAAATGTTTTACTTGAATTATTTATTTTACTTTCAAATTCTTTTGTACCTGCCCAAAGGAAAATCAACCACATGCATACATACACCCAGTGCCATCAACTTTGTCACCATTATGCCATGAGAAAAGCCAGGTCATCAATGTACCTATTCAATGTTTTTGTTCTTATCTTTGCAGGGTTTCAAAAATACTCAGTGTAAAAATATTTAACTTCAGAGTAACTAAACTTGTATTTAAAATCAACAGTTGTAAAATTAAAATAATATTATCTTCAATATCTGTCTGTATCTCAGAGATGAGGTATTATGACTACTTGCATTATTTACATTATTCAGACTGCTATCCTCATCTTTATTGCCATATTCACAACGTTTCAGCTGTTGTATGCTCCAGCCTTCTTCGGGTGATTGAAATTCCAATCACCTGAAGAAGACCAGAGTGTTCAATGGCTGAAACATTGTGAATATGGCAATAAAGATGAGGATAACAATCTGAATAATGTAAATAATGCAAGATTATCTTATTAGAGGTACAACTTTTTATTAAAATAAAAACGGGCAAAATTAAAACCATAGTTGTGATTATTCCATTTTTTTGTCTCTTAATTATGTCAGTTTTTATTGTGTTAATAAAATAATGCAAAAAAAAAAAAAACTGTTTCCTGAATTATCTACATCACAATCCACAGCATTGCAGTTTCTAGTACCTTCTGATTATGATAAAATCAGAGATCCAATAGACATAAGTTTATACTGTACTTAGGAAACATAGAAAAAATGGAAACATCACTACATACTCCCTCTTTTATAGTTGCCAATGTTACACATGTAGAAAGATAACAACAACAAAGATAAGGACTTTAGTCCAACTCCTGATCCCAGAGATTCAGAAAGAAATTTAGCTTAGTTTAGTATATCAGAAATTTTCCAGAGTGTATCTGTTATGCTAGTACCCCAACCTACTGAGTCAGTCTGCCAATAGGCTTTGGTGCTATCTACTGGTGGCCAGTTATCATATGAGATTTTCTTTATGTTGCAATCAAATTCAGCCTGGAATTTGGATAAACCCGCTTCAAAAAACCCCGATTGATCAGATGTTTGGAGAATATTCTTTAGGTTAAACACAGATTTTTGAGTTGTATGTGCATTTCAAAGCTGGTGAGGGTGGACATCTAAGATGATCAATCATCAGCAACATAACAGAAAATATGGAAGAAATTTCTGAACTCATCAATGAAGACTGTTGCTGAACAATCCAGTTATTGAGTTTGACAAAAGATCTTAGTGCAAGAATTTTCTCATATCACCTTCTACATTTCATTGTTACAGCCTGGAAAGATCTGAAATCACTATTTTGATCAACATTCTTTTTAAAATAAGAAGCTAGACAATATTTTACATATAAACAATCCTTTTCTGTGAATATGGCTTATATTAATTCCCGATTACTGACAATCCCTTTTCTTCTTGATTTTCAATATACAGATTTTATCTCAAAACTTGGTTTTTAATCATCAAACAATAAAAATAAAAAAATATAATTTTTCTTAAGGCAGAAAATAAAGGAAGAAGAAATGAAGTCAGTGGGCAGTAATAAAGAAAAGTCAAAGTTTACCAATTGTGTATCTGGTTCCTGGGTTCAAACAGTTGATACTAAAATACAACCAGGATTATTTAATGTTTTTTTTGTCTACTGACAGAATTTGCTACATCATAATTATTGTGAATGGAAGTGTTGATATATTCGTCCTACAGGTGATATAAGAATTATATAAATAGCTAGCTGATGTGCAGGTTTTGTAATGTTTATAAGAAGTGAAACTGGTGAGCCAAATTTAAATTCTGGCCTAGACTGTTTCATTCACTTTTGCATTAATACTCTTGTGAAAAGCATGAATCCTCCCTCTATGTGTTAAAAGACTAAATGTCAGCCAATCTAGGAGGAGGAGGACTACTATGAATCCAAATCCATGAAGAAGGTAACAGAAACCACTGTCTTATCTTTCCCAAGAAATTGTGGTAATTCACAGATTAGAGTGGGGGGGGGGACAATTTGGTTTTAACTTAAATTACTCTTTTATGAGAGTATTCTGATAAGACACAGAATTACTTCATTAACATTTTCCACATTATGTTTACCATTTTCAATGCTGCCTTTGCTGGCCCATATATTTCTAAAATTGATATAGTTTTTTCTTTTTTCTTCTTTTTATTCATTTCACCCACCAAGAAAGGCAACAAAGTCACTAACACACCGAGTTAGCGCGTGAAAGAATTTTGCAAATACTACGATCATTAATGTTTTGCCTGCCAGGACCCCCCCAAAAAAAACAAGGAAACAACTTTGTAATTAGCAGTTAATAGGCTGAAGCTATCTCCCTTAGACAGATGAGAAGGGGGAATCAATTTATACATACTTACAGATCACAACATCTATCAGAGATGAAATTTAAATTTTTATTATTGCGTTATTCCAAAGTTTTAACACATCAGCAGATAGCTATTAATGTCAACAACTGAGCATAAATAGTTATTAATTAATTAAAAAAAATTTAAAAAAAAAATAGTAATTAATGTATAATATTATCCATAACTACATGTACAAGAATGTCGTTTTTGATAAAAGTAAAAAAAAAATAACCATAGATACAAAAAAAAAAAAAAAAAAAAAAAAAGTGTATATTGCCGAAAATTATTTTCCCACACTATAGATATTTGTGCTATGTTATAATGCTTATTACCTAAACAATAATAATACTGAATAAATTTTTTTAAACATCAAAGTATATTTAATCACATCTTCCTAATAGCTGCCAATCTGTTAAAATTATTCAGAAACCTGACTGGACTAAGAAATTCTTTATTCTCCATTTTAGTGGTATTGCTCTAGAAAATGTTTTTGTTGTGTAACAAAAATACATATATAAATTGGTTCAATATAATACAAACAATATATTGATTTCTTTAATATCAACCAGTAAGAGATCAATTGTAAAGATTTGAAAGCATTCAATTATGCAGAGAATAGAAAATTCAGGTATAAAAAATGAAAAAGAAGAACATTTCTTTATAATACATTTTACTGACCTCAGGTGAAATAACTTGTCATCTTATAACAAGTTATCCAACACTTACCTTGTCATGCAACGTCCAGCCAACGTACTTTAAGTAGCTATCGTCAAGAAACATGTAAGGGTATTTTCGCATCCAGACCCCAATTTCAGAAGAACAAATTGCCCGTATCTCTGGTTGAGTATCCCTGAAAAGATGGCACAGATCCTCATCACATGACTTACCTTGTCATGCAAGGTCCAACCGACGTACTTTAAGTAGCTATCATCTAAAAACATATTCGGGTACTTCCGCATCCATACCCCAATTTCTGTCGTACATATTGATCTTATTTCTGGGTGGGTATCTCTGAAAGAGTACAGGAAAACCAGGTTATAAGGCTTCCCTTTTTTTGTTTTTGTTTTTTTTTAAGAAGTTGATCATTTCTTGGTAGCTAGATCCTTGTGGATTTAAAGCGATTCCCTATTAGTGGGTTTTGTACTTTGTTGGTTTTTTTTTTTTTTTTAAGTCCATTAAATGAATTTAGTTTATTCCCACAGGCACAAATCTGAAGCGGTATCAGTAATTGCTTTTTTTTTTCTTTTAAATCACAAGTGTAATGATGATAATAATAATAATAACAACCCATTAGTGTGGATAATATTTTAAATAAAATTGTGTAATACAGAAAATATGGCACTATGAATTTGTGGAAAATAAAAGGTTAAGCTTTGTGGAAAATTTGTCATTCGGACTCTAAACAATACAAAACTAACATCCACAATGAAATGATTAGCACTTTCAATTTTATTAAAAAAAAAAAAATGTTGGGCATGATGCAATGAAAGTGCTGAAAAATTACAACTAAAATTTCTAAATAAAGTGTAGTGTCTCTACACAAACTTTCCACATGTGTGTGTAATGTGCAAGCAAGCCCTGTCCATATAAACTCAAAGAATTATCTTAGCATTGAACTGAGAAAGATTATTTTAGACAGAGCATGCATGAACAAAAGAAAAAAAAAATCATGCATACTGATTGATATAAAAGAGTATAGAACAATAATAGCAAATAGATTCTAAAATAAAAACTCAAATTAAACTAAGTTTTCTTCAACAGAGTTTAATACTAAAATTAAATCGAAGCAAATAAAACCAGAGTAAAAATTTCCTACAATGACACTCATTGTTATATAATTTCATATTCATATAGATGTTGGCCAACTTGAATATCCCGTCAAAGATGATCTGGAGAATTAAATATTTTTATAAGCAACATATGAAAAATAACCGAAAATTAGACATATTAAGCTGGAATGTCGAAGAAAAAAAAAAGAAAAGGAAAAAAAAAGAAAAAGGAAAAAAACAAAAACAAAAAAGAAAACTTGGGTTCTTCAAATACAAATTTCATTTTTCAGTTTCTGACCATCTAATATATTCCAAGTTTCTTGTATAAAGCAACAGACATCACCCATATACTGTTTGATCAAACCAAATTCAAAATATAGTCTCAAGATACCATTAGGAATTAGTAAGAAAAATTTAATTACAAAAAAAAAAAAAAAAAAAAAAAAAAAGGAAAAGTACCAAAAATCTTAGAAGCATATACTGTCTTGTTCACTCAAATGCTTAAAATAATAATAATAATAATAATTATAATAGACTATTAAAAAGTGCAACTGAATAGAAGCTTATAACTTTTTTTTTTTTTTTTTAAATTCATTTGTTTTGTGAAGTACATCTCTCAGATGGTGTGGCATACACCATAGTCATGGATCATTGATGTTTAAATACATTATAAATTTTATCTCTACCAAAAATGAGCATCTTGAATTTTTGTTGATGTTATTTTATACTTTCTGAGGTCACACAAATATCTGCTAATAACATGAACCTCAGAAAAACCCTCCTATGTGCCAGGTCCCTTCAGAACATGGGCGATCATGGGTCTCTACAACTTCCTATCCCGTACAGGTCTTGGCAACCTAAGTCTTTTCACATCCTTTCCACTCTGTTCAGTGATTCTTAGCAAAAATTGGTCAAGTAGGTAGTTTCACTGCATCCAGTTCCTTTTGTCATTGTGATTATCAAATTCTCCGAGCACTCCTGTCTCGAAACAAGTCAATATAAATATTGAGAGATTTCCAAAAGACATGGCTAAAAAAAAAAAAAAAACAAAAAAAAAAAACACTAATGAGGGTCACCAATTTAATGAATATGATTTATTTCGTATACTTATTAAGGCCACACAATGTTGGTTTAAAAAAATAAAAATAATTGTTTCATTAGAGTTATGCTAGGTACATGAACTGATAATTTGTGTGGCATTTGAGTAAACTAGCCTAACAGGTACTTCAACTTTACATTGAGACCAAAGATTTTTTTATTTTTATTAATTACAGTAATTTCTTCTAATATGATTAGATAGGTAAGTAGTGATTTTATCGTTAACAATATTATCCATGAGTTACTAATTATGAACTTGCTTGTGAAAAGTAATATCAAGTCATACCTATTAATAAGAATAGCATAATTATTTTTATGATGTAAAAAATATATTTTTATTCCAATCAAGCTGAATCCGTGGAGACTGTTTTTGCTGGAAATGATTCTTTATTTAAAGATTTAAAACAAAACTGCTATGAAAGAAAATTTACTGTTTATATAATAAAACCCTAAAGAGATTGCCAAATAAAATGCGATTCTGCTGAAGAAGAAGAAAAGATCCAAATCTAACCGAAAATGAGCCAAATGGAATCACAAATGCCAAAGACAAAAAACTAATTTGAGACTGAATTTTAGAATTCCTATAGAAATAATCCAGTAAACATTAATGAGTAAAAATGATTTCACTTTTGCCAGAGATACAGAAAGTAACACTAACACACCAAGGATTAAAACCAATTTTCATTAGATTTCCGAGAATGTAAGCCAACAAATTTTCTGCAACAGAGAAACCAAAATGTGTATCTTAAACAAAAATCCAACACAACCTAATCCTGGAAACAGACAAGAATAATTAATATAAACAAAGTGATTTAATTACAGAATTTAAGCAATAGCTCTCTGAAAATTAGCAGTTTAAAAGTCACAATATTTATATCATTTTTTTTTTTTTTTTTTCAAAAGTTACTGTATATATAAAAATATATATAAAAAGGATATACAATCCCTTTTCAAAAAATACATATCAAATATACACTATAAATAGTGATAAAAAATATTGGCACACCCTTTGCTTTTATAAGCATATATGTTTCTAAATGGTTACAAGCATGCAAAATTTAATAAAGGCTTTTAAATAAAACCCACAAATACGAAAAAAGGAAAAAAAAAAAAAGAAAAAAAACTAATGTCTTCTGAATATTTTTCTTTTCTTTTTTTATACATTATTCTTTTTTACTTTGCAATTATAAAATACAACATTATTATTTGAAAATAAATAAAAGATAAACAAATAATGGATATAAAATAATAAAAATAGCTGTATAAAAAGGACTTGAGTTATTATAGCAGTAGTAATAGTAATAATAAATAGTACTGTACTAATCAACAGCTAGCTATCCAATATAATGTAAAAGCACTAACAGTACATGGACACTCGTGCAGTAGTAGGTGAAATGGTATTACAAGCTAGCATATAAGGCAACACAAACTCAAGCAGCAAGAATGTATGCATCAACTACAACTGACAACAACACAAGCCACAAATACGCACACACAGGCAAAGTATTATTATCATCATCATCATCATCAAATATGTTGCCACTCATTGGGCTGTGGGGTTGGCTACAATATATATATATATATATTAAAAAAAAAAATTAAAAAAAAATTAAAAAATGAGCTAGCTTATTTATTTTTTTTGTTTTCCAGCCATGAGCAAATTCACGGAAATTTAGTAGCTTTGCTAAACAAAGCTAAGATCTATTGGAGAGACACTCACACTTCAATATAAAAATTTGATCCAGATCTACATAGATTTGTGAAGCAAGGTTCCTGATGAAGGAGGAGAAACAAGCAGAAGCAATGATTTTAAAATTAACAACATCGGGGGTCCTTAATTCAGAATAATCATCTAATTTCACTCTTCTTAATAAAGTATAATGAAAGATCAAATCAAAACCCTTCTTTCATAAATAAACATTCAGGTAAATAGAATCAAATAAATTAAATCCTGACTAAACAAAGCACAAATATCCAGCCATTTTTTTTTTTTTTTTTTTTTTTTTTTTAATAGGACTTGATTTCATATATAGTGTAATTAAAAAAAAAAAAAAAAAAAAATGTAATAATTTGGGTGCTTTTTTTTTTTTTTTTGGTGTTACAAGACAAAAATAGTTTTGTTGTGTAATCTTATGAGATATAGTCAATAGCAAAAATGTTGTTCAGTGATAGAAATTTTATTCTTAGAATATAAAATCTGACATCCCACCAAAGATCCAAAGCAAAATTGGTAAATTGGTTTCTTGTTACTGTAAGATACTAACTACTTACAGTGAATTAGTATATTTTTGGTGTACCAATTCCCGTACATTTCCATTAGAACAAGGTTTTCCTGTATCTTTTCAAGAGAAGTCTCACCAAGAAAAAAAGATGTAAACAACCGTGATTCAGCCATGAAAGGAGAAAAAGAGGAGAAGGAAAAGAAACCGTTTCTTTCTTTTTTTTTTCTTTTTTTTTTTTTTCAGTTTCCTTGAGTCTAGATAAAAGAAAATACTCCAGCTCACCACGGTCGGCAGAGGGAGGTGAGCTGAAAAATAAAGTGAAGAAGTTTCTAAATGTTCATCATGGGATCAAGACTGTTCTGTACTTAAGCATGAAAGAAGATTCAGGGAGTCATAACTGAATTTTACAAATAATTTTTATATGAAGCACAAGTTTTTTTTTGTTGTTGTTGAAAACTGTAGAGAAAACATCCCAAAACGTTTTTTTTTTTTTTTTTCAATAAAAAATCTAAATGAAAATAAAGAAAAATCAAGATGATGTGGATTTTTAAGGGAGGAGGGGGGGGGCGTATATTTTGTGTTCACATTTAAATAATTTGGCCACTTTCACATTCCAATCTGATCATTATCAGATTTCTTAAACACTGAAGCACTTTTAGAACGGTAGCTGTTTTAGCCATCTTTGTATTAGGAAATAGCAGTGTAATAATATCCAGTTATCATGATCAGAAGCTGGAGAAGGTAATAGGTTAAAACAAGGTGGAAAAAATTTTACAAAAAAATATGAAGAGTTCAATATATTTTCTTGTCTGAATTTTTGAGATATTGTTACAATGTTTCAACTGTTATACTCCTACCTTCTGGTTCCAGTTGCATTTGCTAACATTCTTAAAATTTCAAACTGTACCCTTCATTCAATTCA